TGGATTTAATGATGTGTGGATGTATCCAGAATCAGTTAAGCTAAATATATTAATACCAGTCCTACATAGTCGTTTAAAAGATATTTATATCACAAATTGGCATTCTAGTGTACATATTTGTTCTTCTTTGTATTTGTATATAAACATATATTCAAACCCGATTTTAGCAGGTCTAAATACCTGGATATTGTTGACTCTATGAAATTAAGAAATATATTAGCTAAACTTAGATTATCATCTCACAATTTATTAATAGAAACACGTAGACACAATAATATTGATAGAAATGACCGGAAATGTACTATTTGCAACAATAATGACATCGAAGATGAATATCACTTTGTATTGATTTGTACTTTGTATGATTCTCTTAGGAAACAGTATATATCCAACTATTTTACAAGAAACCCTAGCATGTTTAAATTTTTAGAATTGCTGAATTCAGAAATGAAGTCAGTGTTAACAAAATTAGCTATATATTGTAATAAAGCTTTTAAATTGAGATTTGATCCATTGAATGCCGGATAGTGCTATATAAGACCACCTTGTTGTATTGTTTAAAGTTATATAAGGATTGTAAATATTACATGTGTTGTATTAATTACACTCTCACTAGTTTATTTCATTTATTGATATGCGTTTACCATTTTTCATATTCATGCATGTATATATTTGTTGTGTATGAAGATGAGCTGTATATGCTTAATTCAAAATAAAATATATGTTCTGTTCTGTTCACTATAGGCGTGTCATTGAAAAATTACTCATTTTAACAGTTTACTGTTCTTATTTTATATATGTGATAAATAGAATATTATATTCGTGTAGATTCAATACTGAATTTAATGAACTCGTTGAATGAAACAATATGATGCTCGCCAGAGGCTCGCATAATATGATTTAAATATTCAACTCGTTCAATAAATTTAGTATTAAACTACACTCATTCAATATCCTCTATTTTGTTCTTGAGCCTTTACATTATTGTGATGCACAGACACATTGTTTAACTCGTATTTTGTTCATGAGCTTATACATTATTGTGATTCACAGACACATTGTTTAACTCGTATTTAGTTCATGTGTTTATACATTATTGTGATGCACAGACACGCTGTTCAACTCGTATTTTGTTCATGAGCTTATACATTATTGTGATGCACAGACAAATTGTTTAACTCTTATTTTGTTCATGAGTTTATACATTATTGTGATTCACAGATACAAAATTGTTCAACTCTTATTTTGTTCATGAGCTTATACATTATTGTGATTCACAGACACATTGTTCAACTCTTATTTAGTTCATGAGCTTATACATTATTGTGATGCACAGACACATTGTTCAACTCGTATTTTGTTCAAGAGCTTATACATTATTGTGATTCACAGATACATTGTTCAACTCTGATTTTGTTCATGAGCTTATACATTTTTGTGATGCACAGACACATTGTTCAACTCTTATTTTGTTCATTAGCTTATACATTATTGGGATGAACAGACAAATTGTTTAACTTGTATTTTGTTCATGAGCTTTTACATTATTGTGATTCACAGACACATTGTTCAACTCTTATTTTGTGCATGAGCTTATACATAAATGTGATGCACAGATACATTGTTCAACTCGAGCTTATATAATATTGCGATGCACAGACACATTGTTCAACTCGTATTTTGTTCATGAGCTTATACATTATTGTGATGCACAGATAAATTGTTTAACTCGTGTATTTTGTTCATGCGCTTATACATTATTGTGATGCGCAGATGAATTGTTCAACTCGTATTTTGTTCATGGGCTTATACATTATTGTGATGCACAGATAAAGACACTTAAAAGACACATTTCTACAGTCTAATGTTTAATTTAATGTTTGATAATTTAAGTAATGTTCACGTGTATTAAGAACCCAAAATTATTTGGGTAAAATTCCATTCTTTTTTTTATCTTAAATAAAAGTTACAGCGAAGAAACATCATATTTTGTCCGGTAATATGTAGGATCCCGGTATAGAATATTTTAAAATTTGGCTTCAGTACGCTTTCGTAAATTTGTTCATGCAACAAGTTTAAAAAAAAATCCAGGGTCATTCCACCGGTTCTCGTTTCTGTTGACACAATTATGGAAAATGCGTGCAGATATTCTTATTGATCAACGAAAGCCGGGTAACAGTCAATATTATAAACAAAAGTCACGTGACCGATACAAACCAGCTGAAACTGGAGTGAGACAGAAATTTGCTTATACTAGGTAAGAATTAGACTTTTTATCTGTGAATCATTTGAAAGATTCGGTAGTCATTTCCATGCGAGTAACTAAGTACATTTTGTTGTTACTTCGGCGGTATGTCAGTCGACTTATCTATGCAAGTGTTTAAAGTGTATTTGACCTAGTTTTCACCTCCAACTTGAATCAACAATTTATTTTTGGATTTAACCTCATCAGGCTCATGTTTATTTTGGAAATTATAGGTGTAGCTAATTTATTGTTGCGGTAACTGAAAATGAAAGGATTTATGATATAAAGAATTCTTATGCTGACTGTATGGCAAGAGGCATACAGTAAATAGATCTAATAATTTGCGCGTCCATTATCAGGGAGGTATTGGTCGGGGAATCAGCTGATTTCATGCTATTGTGCAAGGTGATCTTTTATTTCCGTTGAAACAGTTCAAATAGCGCTTAATTGATTTGCAAACTTTATTATGCATGCATGCTTTTGTGTGCTTATGCATGCATTGATCAATTATGGTGCGTAGTTATAAATTTAGCATATCTAAGTATACACACCTCCTGTGCACACATCTGTATTTACAATGGCAGTAAGTAGAGTTGAACCATTTTCAGGACACTGACCTGGTTCTTTTTCTGTCAAGTATATTGATATAAGAATTATATTTCTTGTTAAGATTGTTTCCGGTAAATGAATTAAGGCTGTGATAGTTTTATTGACAGAATAGAACACTCAAATTTTTCAGTGATGGGCAATTATGGCCATTTCTATCATACTGTACTGTATAATCACGTAGTTTATAACATACTTGATTTACAAACAACCTTGACACTAACTCATAGATCTTTTGCAATATCTTTATCATTGGGTAAATTTCCAGTTCTGTCCCATCTAAAAGCAAATTTCAGTTTAAAGAAATAAAACCAAATTTATGGAAAAAAACTGGTACTTAGAACTATGAAACCCTGAATGAGTTTACTACATGTCAGTGAAACTGACCATGTGAAAACAATATTAAAGTAAGCAACGGTCAGGGTTATATCATGTGTCCGTCTGATTCTCTCCAACCAGTACACATGATGAATTTTGAAATCCAGAATAAAATAACCATGCCTGGTTTTCTGATTGTTTATCACAAATAACTTTTAAAAGTAAGAACAGGACTACAGATAACATTTTGTATATATTGGGTGATTACAGTAATACCCCTTCAATGTTTTGTGATCTATTGGATTTTTCTATTTTCTTAGAGTTATTTCTGTATTTTTTATCCTACCCTCTCTAACCAATTTGAGTTTTAAAGCACGACTCCATGTATTTTGCCCAAGACTGTTGTAGGTTTTGTATGGAAAGAAAAAAGCTACTTACTACTATGCTATATGCTATTGGCCTCGGAGATTTCCAAGCTGCCTGATATAATTTAAAGGTTAAAACAGTCTGAAACAGTATGAACTATGATCTGCCTGATGAACGGCGTCAAGTATAACTTACATCTTTACGCACCAGTTCCAATGTAGTTTGCATAAATAAGAATTTATTTACTTTTTCTTACCCATAGTTATTATTTCTATTGCGTTTTTTGACATTTTAATTGGGTAATTACGCAAATACGCATGTTATCTGCAGCCCTGTAAGAACATTTTAAACTAGTCCATGTTGTACAACTACAATTCAAAAACTATAATTTCAAAAATGAAAAATGGCCTACTGACACATATAACTAAATGCAGTGCCACATGTGACATTATGGTCACTGACATTATATTAAACTAGATGATATTAATTGTCAGGTACTGTATATTGATGTCAGAATGATACCAAACTAAAGTAACTATAAACATTGTTCAGAATATTATTCATTGACCTATATGTTACTAATGCATGCAGAATAAGGAATACATGTATGTATTTTTCATTTGAAATATCTAGGGTATCTTTGGAGTAAACCCAGTTTAACTGTTTAGAAGGATGACCATGCACACTTACACTATAACCATGCATCTTTTAATTGTTCATCATGGGGAAAGCATTGCAATGATTTAAAAACATCTTCTACATGTATAACTTAAATTGTCAGATATTCAGTTGTCAACATGAACATTATAATTTGAAGTTTCTAATGAAAATTATTCATAATTTTTGAAATTCTAAATCTGATGACCCATTCTTACAGAATTATATAGTTATACCACTTAAAGAAATTCTTTTTGTACTTAAAATATAAAAGTATAAATTAGAATTTAGAGATATATAGCTTTGATATTAACTACATGTATGAAATGAAATAAAGAGAAAATAAAACCTAACAAGTAACTCTCATCATGCCTATCTTTCAAGACCAGGCCTGGCTTTCACTAACATTCTCAAAGTCAAAATCTCAGCTCAAATTTGAGAATGTTAGCGAAAGCCAGGCCACAGAACATGAGATAAGAATTTTCACTGATTGAATACTATTGAAGAGAACTAGCTTGGGATTGCGATTGGACCCCCTAGGTTTAAGAACAAGGTCACTGTTACTAAAATTAGAAAAATTCCATTTTTTTTTTTTTACAAAGACAGAGGATAAATGATAATTATACTCTTTTAACCAGGCAGTTAATTGTAATAATTATGTGACACATAATTATTACAATTAACTGCCTGGTTAAAAGAGTATAATTATCATTGTGTACACAGATAAAGTATCGTAAAATATAGGTTTCCATAGTTAAAATTTTGCTTTTTACCCCTTATTTTTCCAAAGGGTGGGGTATGAATCACCTTAAGTGGTACATGTGGTTTTAGTTAAACATGTATTTTATAGTTAGAAACCGGCACAAAATATATATGTACACTGACCAATGAAAATGCTGAGTTTTGAGACAGATTTAAAAAATTATTCTGAAGCCTAGGCATTCTTATCGATGTTGATGACATAGAAAAAGAACAGTCAACTTGGACATTATCCCCAATCTGGTAATTGTAACACACTGCCAGGTCATTGGTTGATATATCAAAGTAGGTTGTCCTCTGATTAAGCATAACTAAACATTTTTGACATATTGGTCAGTGTATTAGTTTTTGGACAATGAACTACGACATTATCCAAAATATGCCAGGTGAATGTGCGGTAAGCATATTTCACAATAATTGTTTGGTATAAAACGATAGACGATATGTCAAGTATCTTTTAGAAGACAATGTAGGAGTAAAACATTATACTTCTTTTTATATGTGTTATGCTTCAAATAATGGCTTTATGTAATTTTTTTTTTTTAATCAAATCAATAAAAAGTCTAGCCTATGTCATTGAAGGTCATTTATGATATATTGTGTTACTTGAGCTAGTGCCCTGGTTATAACCTGGCAGTCAGAGATTAGAAAACTTAAATATTTGCATTGAAAAATGACAGGAAAGATTGATCATTTGTAAATGACTGTCTTTGGTTGTAAGGGTCAAGGACAGTGTGTCATATATTTGATATACATGTACATGTAATAGAAATACGGGTTCAAAGTTTGGGAAAATTATAAATAAAGTACAGTCATGCCAATGTCATATATTGGATATTTAAGTTTTAAATAAAATTGATTTAAAAAGTAAATTTCTATGTAGTTAAATAGCACTCTACAGGTATATGAATTATATTTTACATTGTGTATTTTTAAACTCCTCTCATAATTTATGTTGTTTGGAATTATATTTTGAAAACTTTCTTATTCAATTCACTTATTTTGATTATTTAAAATGTTGATCTGTGTTTTTCAGGTTCGGGTTTAAACTACACTATAACTAGAGATGGAAAGGGGAGCAGAGGCTGTATGTTTGCACAATGAATGTGAATGTGAATTACAACAGAATACAAGTGACCCTCACAAGTTGCCACGGCCACCAGATTATGAGGAACACAAGCCTCCACGTGACACTGATGGGGAGGATTCAGATTTCTCGCTAGATGATGATACAGATGATGATATTATGAATGTCAGGAAGATGGTGTCAGACAGCCCATCAAGGTTACTCTTAAATGGTCGACCAATAGTGCCACACTTTGGTCCTCTTATTCATGATGACATTACAGCAGCAGGAAGTTCAAGTGTAAGTCTCCCACCACAATCTGTCCCAATGTCTGCTCAACAGGACTTAGTGTGGCTTGGGAGCTCATTGGGAACAATGCACAAAGTGCCTATTAGAGGTAAACAAAGTATTGGATCTCGAATTGAGGAACTTAGTAGGGCACCAAGTGCCCTGTCCAAAAAGGTGCCAAGTTGTAACTACAGCTCATTGACAGTGTCTTCATGTGGAACAGACATGTACTCTTTCTGTAAGATCTGTCAGATGCAAGGAGATGAACGTGATCCTCTTATTACCCCATGTCGATGTTCTGGTACACTGCGATATATACATGTCTCATGTTTAAAGGTAAGAAGCTTATTCAACAATCAACTTCAAAAGATCTAAAGGTTTTCAAAGCTTTTTCTTATTTTAATGAACGAGAATAATAGTTTCTTCTTTTAACATTACACATTCAAAATCATCAATAGTGCCTTAAACTGTTGATGGACCAAAATCAAGCCTGGTTAGTACAAAAGCAAGAGGTCAATAAAATTTTGTTGATTTCAATCTTGTTATTTTCTATGTAGAATCACAAGGTATTCTGAAATCATTTTCAGTTTAGTCTTTGGTCTTAACTTAAGTCTTTATTCAGCCTTATATTTGCATGCAATTTTTTATACCTAGTTTATACCTTGAAAATATCATCCTGTTACTATGTGATAGTATTTTACCAGAAAATTTCTCTGGAAGTATTAGAGAAATTCCAAACTTAAAAATTATAAATAGATAACACTTAGTAGTTACAGGGAGTGTACTGCAAGAGAACCTAAATTCCATCTTAAATAAATTCAAATTATCTCCCTTTATGTACTATATCGGTGATAAAAACAGCTATATAATGAACCTATTGTAACTAACCACTAGGCTTCCAAATAAACTGATTGACTGATAGATTGACTGGTAGCTCTTCAAAACAAACCATAAAAATTAATATGACAGTGAAACTCTTAAATGAAAAATCTCTTTAATATTTATCAGTTTCAGGTTAATGATAATATTGCATTACCAATAGGAATTTTTTTGACTTTGTCAGACAGCCAGTAGTGTGATTTCAATATAATGTTTACTTAACCTTTTGAATTGGTAAATGCAAACTGTGGTCATTGGCCTTTCTTTTATTCATTTGAAAAATACAGGTAATATATTATAAATAGCTGTGTAAATAGGAAACATGCTATGCTAAACTCTACATGACTTTGAGTTTGACCAGTGATTATAAAAAAAAAAATTGAGTCAGATTTTATAAATGATTTGTTAGAATAAAGTATATAAGTAAACCAACAATGATTATGTAGAGTATTTTATTAAGAGATGATAAATACATGTATTTTAGTTGAATATTTTATTATCAGCAAGAGGTGTGTATGACTCTTGTTCTAATCAAGGTGCCATTTAGTCCTAGTTTTGTCACAATACTATGGTAATAATGAAGAGAATATACATGTACATGTTTATTTAAGATAAGCTGTATGCAGATAGGTTCATATATATTTTATTCTAGAACAAAATTTGGACCATTTCCAGCTTCTGTAGAAAGTATTTTTCTCCTGAATATAATTTAAAGAACAAATTGCCCTATCCTTCAAATGAATAAAGTTCTGTTGTATGTAAACATTGTAAAGTGATGACAAAAGAAATGTGAAGATTGTTATATTCAAAATAATAAAAATAATAATAATGATAATAATAAACATATACCTGCACAAATGTAGGATTGGTTTGAAGAATAGAAGATCAACAATGTTTTACCAAGTATCTGGTGTTTTTTTAGGCCTCAAATTTTATGAAACTATACTGTATATGTCTTCTCAGGATATTAATAATAAACTGTTTACACTAATTTTTGTATGTGTTGTAGAAATGGATACGAATCTCACAGAGGCGAGGTAAGAAACAACCACCAAGATGTGAACTCTGTCATTTCCAATATATGAGGCACAAACAATTCAAGGTAAAATATTTGTTTCTTGTTGAGGAACATGTGTCTTCTCCTGATCAATTAGAAAAAGTATACTTAAAAATATATTTATACCTTCCCATTGCCTGAAGTACAGCATTTTCTGTATAGATATATACCTTCCCATGGCCTGCAGGTATAATTCATGTGCATTTGTAATTAATCATGCTGAATATGCGTAGATCAGGGGATGCTATGCTTCATGGTGTGTTTCACTACAAAGTTATCAAATAAGTTAATTGAAAATTATGTACCTCAAACAGAATATATGCATTAAAATATGAGCTTGTAATATCCTTTCAAAATTCATTCTTTACAAATTATGAAGATAAAATGACACACCGTATACACTTAAAACAGTTATTTACTAAGCATTTGTGCACATCATTAATTAAATATTGGTCTGAGGGAATTTGTACTCTGCATATTTTACTTACAAACCCTCATTTGCTAGTTTAAGATAAATTTATCTAATGAAACCAAATTGATGTTTTTTTTCATATAAAGTACAGTATCAAATGACATTGAAAAAGCTGCATTTCTTTCAATGTATTCTGGAGGTGGTAGTCTAGGGATTTTCCTCATTTTTTGTCTGTTTTGTTCCATGTATGCATGAAAAGTGCATGAGTCATTTTATATTATAACAGACTGAAAGCAGATCTATCACAGACATATTTTGTCTGTTTGTTTTTGTGCACAAGTTTGAATATATGGGAAAGTAAAACACCACCACAAAGCACAGGAATGCGCTAAGCCAAGGAACATATTGTGTGTTCCCCTTGACATTCCTCTTGTATAGCTGTGAATTCGAAAACTGTCCATGGACTCGCGTTAATGTAAAGATGCCTGTGCAGTAGTATGTAGAAAGTTGATGGTTCTACTGAATTTTTAACTCGTCAGTCATGCCTTTTGAAATGCACAGAGGGGCACCTGAGTGTTTACACTAAACCTGCAAAGTCTTCATATGACTATGACAGTCTTGTCCCTCCTCCCCCGCCCCCTTACCTACCTCATCCCAACTTCATCCTGCTGAAATAATTCTTTTATCACATTGATTTGATTATATTACATTAACATAGATATTTTCTTTTCTTTTTCTTATTTGATCTTAATTTAGGGCTCTAGCTAGGGGCTAATCAGAATAAATTGAACAGGAACATTGCATTGCAGAGGAGAGGTGTAGTAAGGAGATTAAAAAATCATGGAGCAGTGATGCAAATGTAACGTGAAAGGCCATTTGTAGAAATTCACTAAGTAACAATGTTATTATTGTGTAATAAAGTTTACTTCCACAGGATAACACTGTCATACTTCAAAATATGAGGTTTATTTTTTTTTATGTTTTTCAAAAATATATCCACGGGTGCCCTAAATTCGTCCCTGTCCTAGAGTCAACACCATTTCTGTTTATGTCACAAGTCTTGTCAAATGTTCATTACAAAAGAAAACAATTGGATATTTTTAAACATCAAAGTAAATTTAATGTATCTGTCAAATTTCTTTAACATAAAAAGCTTGAATTATTAAATGATGGAGTTTATCAAACTAACACTGTGAAATTGCTTAGGGTAGCGAATCATGGTCACCCGTGGATGAACAAAGCCAAAGAGAAAGGTCTACATTAATATATAATGTCCGAAGACAAAGCATTATACAAAATACATTTGTATTTTGTTTAATATATAATATGGAAAAAAGAAAGCAACAGTCATAAATTATAACATGTTGATCAGAGTTAAGGAATAAAAGAAGGAATAAAGAATGGCACAGAAAGGTCATCTTTGGAATAAAGTGTCATATAGGAACATGATCTTGTCTAAAGATTTGAGCACAGTAACTAAAACATTCATTAAACTTGAAAGGCAATGGTACTACAAAAAATATACATGAAAAAATACATAGTCAAAAAATAAGTAACACAAAATTTGTTTATTTTATACATTAAATTAAGGTGATCCTATTTGTTTTGATGTCAATTGATGATACAGGAATCTGACATCTGTTGTCATTTCATAATATAGACTTCTACTTCCATTATACTCATCCCAGAAATGTATAACACTCTTAACCTCAGACTTTCTTTATGACATTCTTCTAAGACTTGTGTAATAGAAGTTTTTATATATAATGACAACTCATGAAAGATCTGTAAATATCTTTAAAATATTCCCTTTGATTGATCCTAATTTTGTAATTCTGTAAGTTATCCTCATTGCAACTTTACTAATATTAATTTTTTACTTTTTCAGTTTAGCCAATGGAGATGGCCGAGAGTTCGTAGACGAGACAAATTTCTCCATATTATTTTTCTTCTGAATCTTCTCATCATGGTTGGCTGCGCCATAGCAACTGTCATGTGCTTTCTATCTGATCGTGACAATGCTGCAAAGTTTCCAAAGAACAAGGTAAAGCTTACGTCGGAAGAAATCATCACGCTCACTTGTGGGGTCATGTTTTTCGTCGCCTTCTTCATTGCCATGACTGTTGAAATCAAGGCCCGGCACACATTGTACAAACTCTTCTTACGCTTCATAATGCACAATACTGAATGGACTGTGGAGTCGTATGACCCAAATAAAGATCCCCTGTTTAAAAAGGCCCCACTGACTGTCAGTCAGGTGTAATTTGAAAATACAAAAGTGAATGTTAATGGAAATTAAATTTGAAAATCTAGAAAATTAATTTAACAGCACAGTGTTTTACTTGTGATTATGATGCAAAAATTGGTTTGACAAAAAATCAAATTGGTGGCTTTGTAGATAAATGGGTAAACATTATTGATTTTCTTTTCAAATAATTTCCATATTTTTATTGTTTCAGATTTATTGTTTTAAACATACGTAAATGTTGTTTGCATTGAAAATCAAGTTTAATTCAAGGAAATTTGAATGTGCACTAAAAATGGCAGTTGAATTACAAATCTAGATATGTTTTGAAAATTCAACAATGTTTCTATTATAGAACTTGATATTTTACTTGGCATGGAACTATTTATTATGCGCAGTGCGCATGTATGATATATTTTTGCCAAATTTCATCATAAACTTTAAAAAGGTGCCAGCATGATATGCGGCACATACAACTGGTTTTATTATTGTATATACTTACTTTGTGACATGTATTTTTATGGCATTGTTGCAAAGTGAATCATGAATAGCTGAAATTTGGCTCTTTGTATTTTTGATATTTTTATCAACATTATTTTGAAAGCGATGTTTATGTAAACAACTAACTTAATGTCAGAAGTAAACAAAGTAAAAAACAAAACAAAAACAAATAAATCCTGGTTAGCAGGAATCAATGCATAATAGCAATTAATGAGAGCTATATAGATTTATAGTGTTGATATGGACAAGTCACATTTGATACATGTTGTTACCATAGAACAAAAGTTTGCAATATTGGCATATTGATGTATTGAGCTATCAAATTTGTGTGCCAAGCAAGCTATACATATATGCTATATTTGTACACAAATCTGGGGTGATAATCCCTACAGGTTGTGTCATACATATCTCTAAAAAAATGTTAAGACTTTTGGCAGATTCAATTTCGGATTAGAAAATGACTGTTTTCTGTATATTTCATTAATGTACTGAACCTACTTGTGTAATGAATTTGCCCAGTCATGAATTTGGAACAGTCCATTCCAATAATAAGGGATTTAAATTACAAAATACAAAAATTGAGGATTGGACTTCATCAGTTAAAAACTAATCACTTTTGTTGTCAGTAACTTAAGGATAAATGTTACTAGGGTACTTGTGTGTTGAGAAAGTTTCAGTAGAATGTGAATAACGATGTTATTAAACAAAATGTATATGTACTATTACTTGTAATTGAGTGGAGATATAATTCTGTTATGTATGGTTACTCTTGTGTAGAGATTTTTAACACTAAGCTAAAATGATCAAAGTTAGGTAATTATTACCCCCCCCCCCTCTTTTGCCCTTTTGTTTTATACTTTCATATATTCCACATAATTATCTTATATTTTGTTGTTATATTTGTTTTATTTATTTATTTACTAAACTTTTATGTTTGTGAAAAATAAAACAAACAAAGTGATGTGTATGGTTAACAACCAGTACATAGTGATTCATAATGTGATTTTTTTCTGTATAGGACTTAATAAGTACAGTTTGTTTTCTACGTTTATGTTTTTTTGTTTTGTAGATTATTTTATTTCATGCTTTCCAGTGTTTTATTGTAATATATCAGATGATTATATTCTGATAAACCACTAGTGAAATTTATAAAATATAATTTTCACTGTAGCCGGACTATATCCGAATGCGGATGAAAAGAAAATCATAACTAAATCATTAGTAAATGGAATAACAGGCAGAAATAAATGCCGTCATACGTAAATTGTGATTTTTTAGGAAAAGAAAGTCGATGTCACCATACATCATGTTAAAAATGTAACAAAATTAGAGAAATTTAACAGAACTATATTTCAAAATTGATGATGTGACGTCATGATGTGATGACGTCACAAAGGAGAATGCGCGATGTTACGCGGCAAAATCAGTGAAAAATACTTAAAATCACTTAAAAAGCATGAAATAAAAAGAAAATTTATTTGTTTTACGTATAAGATTGAAATATATTTCATTCGTGAACACCAGCTATTATATTTTCACTCGTGGCTACGCCACTCGTGAAAATATTGCATCTGGTGTTCACTCAGTGAAATTATATTTCAATCTAACATGCAAAACAAACAAATATCCTCTATGTATTAAATAAAAATAGTAGGATTATTTGGAGTTGTAAATGCATGTACATGTATAGTACATACCAACGATTTGAAAACATTACACTTAATACTGTCAATGATCAAGTATAGTGTAATTCACCACAAAACTATTAGTCAGAATGAATTCAAAATTTCTATTAAATTTCAGGCTCATGATGATTTTCATATAGTTTAAGTCTTCTTTTTCCTTGTAACCATATATTTTGCATTTGATTATCTGAGCTAAATTAATCCTATTGTGAACAAGTTATATGGCAGGCAAAGTGCTAGGTTTCTGTGTATTTCTAAATTTTGGCATAAAATTATGCCTCCGTATTTTATTCATTTACGTGTAGTTTCAAATCTTTTTGAATATGATATTTAACACAAAGACTGATTTGTTTTTAGGAATCTACATGTGCTAACAACACAAATTTGTTATTTTATGTACCATAATAATAATATAATTGTCAGATATGGCCTAGAACAGGGTTTTAGCATGATGAATATAGGTCTGGTTATTCATATACAAGTAAACCCTGATAGAAAAATATATACACATGATAGATTTATTATTCTTTGACCTGTTGCAGGTTATTTCTTGGCATAGTACTCACCCAATGCTCTGCTATGTTTTTGCATTTTTACGATTTTACAACACTTTTACAATTTTTTGAATTTTTATGAAAATTGACATGAATCTTGAGGAATGCTTCTTTTTAATGTACAATAAATTGATTGACAATAACTTAATATAATTCACAATAAATTTTGATAACACAGTATTACTATGGCACAGTACATTGAAGTTCCTTCTCGGTTTCAAACTTAAAATTTTATTTGTTATATTTCAAATTTTAAACGTATTTACCAGATGATGTACAACTGATGTAATCTAAATATTAGTCATTAGGTATTTTGCGTCTTAGTTTTGTAGCTCGTTTATAATCTCATCTTTTATGTCATTGCATCAGTGAACTTGAAGTTTTGGTTGAAAATAAACAGAAATCGTTTTTTGTAGAAAGATTTGAAAATAAGATTTTCATACCATTTATATATATTAGAATTAATGAAGTTTATTGTAGTCTACATGAATTTATCCTTTATCTTAGTGTATTGAAACTCAGTGTAGTCATAGTTTAAGCAGAAACAAAGATTGCTGTGTAGATTGCAGAAGTCTAACTCTTGTGTTCCAGTTTCTGTATGCAAGTTTGATACAGTTTAATCAGCCTTTATACAGATAGTTGCTTAATTCTAGGTGTGCAATACTTTAATCCCTCAAACATATAATGTACATTACTAAATTGTAAGTAGGACACTTTCATTACACGGTCTTGACACATTATTTAGTTAGGGTTGAAGACATTGAAAACCAGTTTGCAAAAATATAATTATTAAGTGTTTCAAATTTACAATAGACTCCCATTTCCTGAATAAATTTGATGCAATTTGAATATGGTGTAAAATTTTAAAATAAATTAATGTAAATGCTATTCCAGTTTAATATGGGATACCTCAGTCAAGGTAACAAGTTATTTTTGTATGTAGAAAATTTTATTGTCTTAAAGGCACATTATGCCCCAGAAATGCATTTTTATAAAAGTTTTTAGAAAATGTCAATCATGTGTTTATTAATGGATTCATAGCATGTCAGATGTTAAAAGCTGTGAAAAGTAGCGCTGAATGTGCAGTAATGTGTCATAAAAAAGTAGTTATTTTGACTTTCATACAAAATACTTTTTCACTATAATTATACCAATTGCCAGCAAAGCAAAAGGCACATGTGTATGATAGTTTATCTATATGGCAAATGTGTATATTTGGAAACAGTAACAAGATAACAAAAATGAAAAGTTTTTGAGAAATAAAAATGATAGCATTTCTGAGGCATAATGGGCCTTTAACTTGAACAGTCTACTGCTTCATGTATTTTGTTGGAATGGACAAAGGATAATGAGAATTAGTAATATAGAATGGTCTACTCAAAACAAAAATGCTATAGACATCTGTATAAAAATGCTATAGACATGTGTATATAAAAAAGAATATGCTGTAAATAATTCTGTGTGTATTTTTTTTATACTCATAAAAAAGTGCTACATTTTTCATGCTGCAATATTTTTGCTCTCATTATATTTTACCATTAAGTATTCATATAAATATATATATTGTATAGAACGAGTGATTCTGTTGTTCTGTCTACACTATATTGGTGCAGTGTTGTGTTGTAACAACACCATTGTGATGTGTATATTTCACTTTTATCTTAATACTCTTTTCACCATGTATATTATGTCATAATTAACAACCTAATGATTAAAGCCTTCCTGGAAATTACTAAAGCCTTGCTAAATGGTTGGACCTATATTGTTTTTGACATGGCCTCCTTATAAATGAGTATTTGAATATTTTTATTATGAAACACAATTGTAAATATTTTGGGATAGTTTGTTGTATGTCCTTTTTTTTGAGAGAGAATTTAAGAGAGAGATTTTCAGATTTTTATGAAATCTACTGTACATTTTAAGTACATGTATATGCATTGGTAGCAATTAGCAAAGCTATATATTTTTCTAACAGCTTCATGTAGATTTGCTTTTATCATTAACAGTCTAAATGATATTTCTAAACGTTCAAAAGGTATTACACTTGATAATAAAATTATATTTGTGAATGTTTCATAGTTTATAAGGTACAAATTATAGTTGTTGATATTATGATTATTATTTGCACGTTAAAAGTGCTGTGAGAAGTTATTTGCTGCAAGCAGACTTTATTTACAGTGTATATTTATTAAGCTGTACACGTGTTATTGCAACATATGTTACATGATTTATGTCAGTAAACAAGGTTTTTTTTTGTTGCGTCTCTATGAAATAATGCCTGCAATCATTATAATCCATGAATGAGATTGTGTTTGTCATGTTTTTATGACTGAATTATTTTTTATCTCCATTTATGCATGGTAAAAATGTGCTAATGACATTATTTTTATGTCATTCTGTAAATATATTGTATATTAAATTAGTTTACTAGATACATATTTTGCATAATGTTTGATATATGAGGTAAATTTCAATTTTTTTGCACACACTATATATATATATATATAATTATATCATGAAAATTGTATAGCATGTCTTGCTAAATCTAGATGTTGTATATCTGGTTTTTTTTTTCTTTCCGCTTTAAACTTGTTAAATCTGTTTTTCTATAGTATTGAAAAATAATAAACATTGATCATATTCCATTGTCTTGTCTTATATAATTTAGATAGATTAAAGATCTCAAGGTTATGTAAAGGACAGGAAAATTTTAAGATATAATAGTGAGACTTTAGTGATGTAAAAGGCTTAAAGAGTAAGGATACTTTAGGGATCATATAAAAGGGCTGGAGACTTTAGTGATGTAAAAGAGTAAGGATACTTTAGGGATCATATAAAAGGGCTGGAGACTTTAATGATGTAAAAGAGTAAGGATACTTCAGGGATCATATAAAAGGGCTGGAGACATTAGTGATGTAAAAGAGTAAGGATACTTTAGGGATCATATAAAAGGGCTGGAGAATTTAGTGATGTAAAAGAGTAAGGATACTTTAGGGATCATATAAAAGGGCTGGAGACTAATGATGTAAAAGAGTAAGGATACTTTAGGGATCATATAAAAGGGCTGGAGACTTTAGTGATGTAAAAGAGTAAGGATACTTTAGGGATCATATAAAAAGGCTGGAGACCAGTGATGTAAATGAGTAAGGATACTTTAGGGATCATATTAAAGGGCTGGAGACTTTAGTGATGTAAAAGAGTAAGGATACTTTAGGGATCATATAAAAGGGCTGGAGACTTCAGTGATGTAAAAGAGTAAGGATACTTTAGGGATCATATAAAAGGGCTGGAGACTTCAGTGATGTAAAAGAGTAAGGATACTTTAGGGATCATATAAAAGGGCTGGAGACTTCAGTGATGTAAAAGAGTAAGGATACTTTAGGGATCATATAAAAGGGCTGGAGACTTCAGTGATGTAAATGAGTAAGGATACTTTAGGGATCATATAAAAGGGCTGGAGACCAGTGATGTAAAAGAGTAAGGATACTTTAGGGATCATATAAAAGGACTGGAGACTTCAGTGATGTAAAGGAGTAAGGATACTTTAGGGATCATATAAAAGGGCTGGAGACTTCAGTGATGTAAATGAGTAAGGATACTTTAGGGATCATAAAAAGGCTGGAGACCAGTGATGTAAATGAGTAAGGATACTTTAGGGATCATAATTAATTTATTATAAAAGGGCTGGAGACTTTCATGATGTAAAAGAGTAAGGATACTTTAGGGATTATATAAAAGGGCTGAAGACTTTAGTGATGTAAAAGAGTAAGGATACTTTAATGATCAGTTAAAGGGCTAGAGAATTTTGAGATGTTGATTGGCTGAAGGTTAAAGAGGTATA